GACATCATGCTTGGGAGGGTGGAGGGACAGTGCAGGAGGGGAAGGCCCTCTATGAGGTGGATTGATTCAGTGACTGGGATAATCAGGATGGCAGTGTCAGAGACAGTGCGATTGGCACAGGACAGAGCAGAGTTTAGGGCTGTTGTACATAGGGTCACTTTGAGTCGCAAGCGACTCGACGGCACATAACAACAACAACAACAAATCCTCCATTGTGAGAAAGTACCACAATTTGCTATTGTTGACAACTTCATTGCTACAAGCTTTTTAAAATATTATGAATAAAGCTCCTATACACATTTGTGTACAGGGTTTGTTTTATGTGTGTGTGTACAGGTTTTTAACTGAGCATAAGTTTTTCACTCAGTTGGGAAACCATTTAGGAGTGTAACTGTTGGGATATATGGCAAGCTTATGCCAATTTTGTAAGAAACTATCAAACATATTCACTCATCTATGCCAAGAAACCTAGAAGACAGCAATCTGGCCAACTGACTGGAAGAGATCCAGCCTTGTGTCCACACAAAAAAAAGGTGATCTAACAGGATATGGGAATTATTGAACAGTATCATTAAAAATCACATCCAAGTAAAATCTTCCGGGAGTTAATTCAGAAATAGCTGGAGTACTGTACTGACAGGGAACTGCTAGAAATTTAACGTGGCTTCAGAAGACAGGTGAACATGTTCTCTGCTGTATCTGTTTGCTGAAATATTTCAAATGGTATTCCATCAGCTCCTGAAGAGTAGTGTTTGTGCAATCCCCTCAGTGAATCTTGGATTCCTTCCTTCAAGATCACTGGTTACTGACAACAAACTCCTGCTCATGTTTAAGCATGTTATTTTTTCCACCTTTTGATACTTCCTGGATCATTCACTATTTTCCCCACTATTACAACTCAAGGCCTGAATTTTCACTTAAGAAGACAGATGCTGCTTAACACTGCTTAATGCCTTATGTACTACATGACACACTCCTAGTATTAGAGCCTGGAGGTTCTCAGGTTTACCACTTACATAATCACAGGCAAATTTCCTGCAAACATACTTCAAGTTCCTCATGTGCAAAACGGTGATATCTGTGCTTTACTGGATTAAAATTCTTTCACTCAGTAATTACAGTCAGATTAGTAAGTGTAGGTGAACATTTTTTTAAAATATAAAGTATCAACCAAAAGTTATCACTTTTAACAGAATATAAGTTTTATAAGCGTAAACACTCTTTTAATAATTTGGTAATATTCCCACTAATAAAAAGAGAAAGGACTTCATGAAATGAGAAAAGGAGAGTCAGTGGGAAAATATTCTACAGCATATTTCTAACACCATTTTTGGGAGTGAACTCCTCCTTGCTTCACCCTTACAAGTAAGCAGCTGATATATTTGGCAATTTATCCTTACTTATGTATCCAATCTTTTTTTTTAAATACATACTATGTGTGAGACTCTGTGTTATGTGTTTACTAGAAAAAACCAGGCCTTATCTTCATAAGGTCCAATAGAAAATATATGTAGCAAACAATAATCCATTTTACAAAGACTTAATTTGTTACTACCATGCTAAATATACCATAGGTAAAACATAGTGTGTACAAGAGGATGTAACAGGGGACCTGACCTAGTCTAAGAGGTCAAGGGCTTCCCTGAGGAAGTGACATTCAACCTGAAACCTGCGGTATATCAAAGTCTCATTCTTGCATGACATAAGTCATTAAGATCATCCATCTAAAGCCAAAGCTCTAATACATCCTCAACCAACAAGCTTCTGGTTTTAATTTTACTTACAACATAGATCTTCTGATAAGGAGCAAATGTGTTGACCTGGTTTGCTAGGCTTTTATACCTCTAATTCAAAATATTTCTAATTTTAAATTACTATGATGTACTAAAAGAAGAAAGTAGTCATTTTCTGAGCCAGCAAAGCACAAATAAAGAGACAGCATGGTAATGGGAAAACAAGTCCCTGGTTCTAATAACTGTTCTATAACTGTGCCCTTTTATGTTAACCCTCCGAATTACCTGAGGTACTATTTCCTCATACTGACAGCGGGAGAAATTGAGTACTTTAAACTGGGAACTGGCTTACTCAAAACCAAGCCCTCTGGCATTAAATCAATTCCAACTCATAGTTAACCCTACAGGACAGAGCAGAGTCGCTTCTTGGGTTTTCCAGGGTACAAATCCTTACAGAAGCAGACTGTTTCATTTTCCTCTCAAAGTGGTTGTTGTTGTTGTTGCTATGTGCCTTTGAGTCAGGTTTTCAGAGGCTGTAAATTGCACGAGAGGATATTGCTCATCTTTCTCTGTTGAGTAGCTGGTAGATTTGAACCACCTGCCTTTGGTTTGGTAGCACAGCTCCTTACAACCAGATCACCAGAGCTCCCAGAGTTGCTAGTGGGTTTAAATCAATGAAAATTATTTTTATTAATAATTCTGTCCTTCATATACATCATGTTTCATACATGCATACTGTGTTTTATACAGTTTTTCATTTCTATTCTATTTCATTCATTTCTATAAATCAATGATATTTTGGTCACCAGGGTTCCTTGAGATATTTTACTGCTATGATAATTTAAGGACTAAATAGAAGATAGGAGAGAGATAAGGGCAAGGCTGTATGTCAGTACCTTTGGCTTTCTTGGTAGCAAAATGGCGGATTGGTAACGCTGGATAGGCTAGGAATTGCCTATGGTACCCTGGTTTTTGATTCACTGTCTTCATTGTAACTTCTGAAACAGGTCTTGTTAGGGCTGCAAATGAGTTGTAAAAGGCAGGATGGGCCAGGCGTAAGCACCTTAATCCCAAGGCCATGACTGAAGATATTCCTTGAGCAGTCACTAGAAGAGTAAGAGAAAAAGGAGAACCAAGTAAATGCAATCTTACGAATAAAAATCCAAACCTACTGTCATCAAGTTGATTCTAACTCATAACTATTTCACAGACCAGAGTAAACTGTTCGATAGAGTTTTCAAGGCTATAAATCTTTATGGAAGGAGACTACTTCAACTTTCTCCTGCAGAGCAGTTGGGTCCAAAGATCCAACCTTTTAGTTAGTGGCTTTATGCTTAACCCACCACGCCAGGGCTTCTTAAGATAAAAGGAAAACAAAGTAAAAGCAATCTTAGCATGGCTTCAGAAAATAATAGCTATAAATTATTAAGTAACTACCAGCTCAAAGAACTGAAGAACAAATTCAAACCTCGAGTTGCTACAATCAAGGATGCCTTAAGCAGAATGTTAAATGATCCAGGAGGTATCAAAAGAAGATGGAAGGAATATACTGAGTCATTGTATCGAAAGGAATTGGCAGATACAGAAGA